GGAAGAGCTTGGCTGCCTCTGCCAACTCACAAGTTAAGGGGCCTTGGAGAAGCTCCCTAGTAGCCTCATTTCCCCTTCTGTAAAATGGAGATAGTAAATGAGATACGTACAAATAGTGGAACATAAATGCTGGGCCCATAATTGTTATTCAAAAGATATGCTAGCTGCCACTTGCTGTGTCCTTGGATAAACCACGCCACTCTGCCTTTCCTGATCTATTAAATGAGATTAAATTAGGTGATCTATGGTCTATCCTTGCTCTAAAACTCTCCCTCTGCGTGAGAGGAAGAGGGCAGTTGTTGCCAGATGTGGAAACTGTGTGCCCTTTCCTACCTGGCTGGGCTCCAAACTACATGAGTGACAGTGGTTGTTTCTCACTTCACAAGAATACAGGGGAAACAGCTGCCTGTTTTACTGGTGTAGGGTCCTCAGAAATTCTCTAATTTAACAATCCTGTGATTGTCCAAATGAGGACACAGGCTCCGAGCGGCGGTGGGTGTGTGTGATTTACCTGAGGTCTGCCAGCCAGTGAGTGGCAGAACTGGGGCTGGGATCCAGCACTGCTGCCTCTGTGGTCAGTGCTGCTTCCACCACCCTGAGCCGCTCTCTCGAGGGATCCAGCCCAGATAACTTCCCATCCTGTCACCAAGCCGCTACATTATCCACAGCTTCTTGGGAATCCTTATACCTGTTTCCAATTAAATTTTGTCAGGTAGAGTCCCAAAGCCTAGTATGTGAAAGGGGTGGTAATCTGGGCCCTGGCTCCTCCTGGTACCAGGGCTGGGTGTGGGTGAGTGGGTGCCAGCTAAAAGTTTGGATGACGTGGGAGGGATAGAGGGCTAGTTTCCAGCGGGAGGAGGGGATCTGGAACACGTTGAGAGCTGGGTTGCTATCTGTTTTGCCTTTTAGGGAGGAAGCCCTCAGTTTGGGTACTGAATCTCCAGGAAGGATGCAGGGCCAGTGCTTGCTTTCCCTCTCCCTTGCAGACCTGCATGAAATCTGGAGATCAGGGGTCACATGTCCCTAGGGTAGTTTCCAGTAGAGTGAAGAACTGTCTGCTGCTCATCCTCCATTAAGTTACCTCGAGAAGAGGGCTCAATCCTAAAGCAACTACTCCAGCTGAGTCTCGCCATCTACAGATTTGAGAGGCTTATATTCTTCAATGCTACTACTTAAGGGAGGCTCAAATTCCATCCTGACTCCAAGGAATTTGATCTCTTGAGAGATGGAAGTATCTAGTTTTGGCCTTTTTTCAAGGTGCCTGTGACACTGCCTTCACAAGGCTTCTCTTGTCATCTGGGTCAGACCTGGGTTCCCCCCTAGTCTCCTCTGTAACAAGGGCCAGGACACAAAATCCTGAGTTCTGCAAGGAAAGGTAAGACTGCCCCAGCTTTCGGAAAAGGAGTATCTCCCAGAGCTCAGACTGAGGGAGAAATCTGTTACCTTACCAAGTTATGAAGTTTATCCTACCCTTTAAACCAGAACCCCCCCTCCTATAGGTTAACTCCTCACTGTGTTTTCAGTGGACACTACACAGATGGCAAATAGTGTGTTGGTCCAAAGACCAACAGTTCATAGTCCTAGCGGAAGACAATACATTATCAAACTAGCTCCCTCTTCCTTCCCTATGCTTGCTCTCAACCCCAAGCTTCTGACCCACTGTCTTTCTCCCCATTCTCTTGAACAAGTCCCAGGTCTCCACCAGGAACACAATGAACCAAAGCAAATATATCCTTCTTGCCCTCTGACCTGGCCAGTCCTGGGGTGTCCGAGCCGTAGGCCCTGAAAGAGGGATGTGAGCTGGTGGAGGGCTACTCCATTTGGAGCCTCCCGTTGTCTCCAGGTCCTTTTCATCCTTCTTGGGGCCCAGAGGCTCCGAAGGCTGGGCGAAGGAAAGGTTAAACTGGTTGGGCAGCACTCTCCCCCCGCCCCCCCACCAGAATCTAAGCTGGGAAACTTGGTGACGGGAACAAAGCGGGTGTTTGTTGGGTTTCTCTCCTGCCTGGGAGGCTGTTCTCGGACCACGGCATTCC